TCTCTTGGCCAGTCTCTGCCTAATTCGGACCCCATCAACATGTATTTATAGTTAGGATTTTTGGCCCCAATGTGCATCACTTTGCACTTGGCCACACTGAACCCCATTTGCCACGTTGATGCCCACTCGCCCATCCTCGACAAATCCCTTTGAAAAGACACTCGGTGGGAGGGGGAGGTAGGGCTGCCATCCCCCCCCCATGATGGGAGTGGGGTTTCCCCAGCTTTTGGGGCCTCCAGTCCTCCACCAGCCAACTGATACATTTCTTAATGCTTTAGTTTTGGAAGAAGTGCCTGAGTTCCAGAGTGGTCTCTCTCAGGCATTAGATACAGTGATGAGCAATTCCAAAAGGTCCCCAAACTCATAGGAAGGATCAGGAAGTATACAAAACTAAGCAATGACTGCGGAGGTCAGGGGTACCCCCGTGAATGGGGAAGGAGAGTGTCTTGCACAGGAAAGGGGAGGGTGCCTCTTCCTCTAGCTCACCCGGAAGTCCCGCAACTTCAGCCGTCCACGGGGCACAGAAAAGAAGGTATCTGTCTGAAGAATGATGCAGCCTGGTGACCCACTCAGCCGCTCGGCGTTACTCGTCAGTTGAGCCAGATCCCGCACCCGTGCCTTGATCTCCACGTTGGCTGGCATCTGGGGAGGAACAAGCAGCACAGCAGGAAAACATGGATTCTCTCACCCAGCAAGCCTCCTGAGCCCGGGAATTCCGTCCACATGGACTTCTTTACCCAGGAACCCCTGCATGCTTTGGAACAGACTGCCTCGGGAGGTGGTGGATGCTCCTTCGCTGGGCGTTTTCAAGTGGAGGCTGGACGACCATCTTCTGGGTATGTCGTGGGGCTCTCTTTCGGCTCTGCTCCTGCAGAGTGCAGGGGGTTGGACTAGATGACCTCCAAGGTCCCTTCCAACTCTAACATTCTATGATTCTGTGATTCAGAGGCACTGGCTCAGAGCCTGCTCAGTTTGCCCAGCCTTCCTGTGTGGAATGCAGGAACGCTCGACCCAGCCAGCATTCAACAATGGCTTATTTTCAGAGATAATCAGAAGTAGAGACCCAGCTGCCTTGCAGGGGGCAGAAATTTTCTTGGGGGAAAATGTACGGGGGAAGCACCCGATAGCACTCTCCCTTGAGACACCCAGGAAAGACCATGGAGATCTATGGCCATATACAGTGGGCGGGCTCAGGATAATACATTCCAGAGGTTCACAGGAGCCAGGAGCCCGTCAGCCCAGGAGGTCTGTCCCTGTCCCTTTTAACCAGAAACGGCAGGGATTGAACTTGGGGCCTTGCCAAACTTGGGTCTCTTTTGCCATGGTCCGTGCTGTTCTTTGATTTTGTATGCCTATTATCCTGTGAGAGGGCGGAGTAAACGCTCCCTCTAAGCTGTGGAGTCTTGTGAACAGAAATTCTACTTTGTGACCTTTGGGCATTGAAGTTGTGAGCGAGCGATTTGGCTGCTGCATCAATTAGTTTGCTCTGGAGCCCTCCTTCCTGAGCTAAGACAAAAATGTGTCAGCCGGAGGCTAAAAAACTGTGAACCGGAAGCTAAAAAACTGAGCTAGCTCACACTAACTCAGCTTAGAGGGAACATTGATGTAGGTACTGCTTTCCTATGAGTTGCACTAGCTTGTAACCAGTGTTTCCTCTAAGCTGAGTTAGTGTGAACTAACTGACAGTTTTTTAGCTTCCGGCTCACACATTCTTGTTTTATCTCAGGAAGGCTGGCTTCTTGTGAGCAAAAATTCTACTTTGTGAGCTGCTGGCATTAAAGTTGTGAGCGAGCGATTTGGGTAGTGCATACACTGGTTCACTATGGAGCCATCCTTCCTGAGCGAAGACAAAAATGTGTGAGCTGGAGGCTACAAAACCGTGAGCTAGCGCACACTAACTCAGCTTAGAGGGAACACTGCTCCAGACCAAACTAATTCATGCAGTAGCCAAATCGCTCGCTCACAACGTTAATGCCAGTGTTTCACCAGGTAGATTTTTTGCTCACAAGACTCCGCTGCTTAGAGGGAGCATTGCTTGTAACTGTGTAAAGCAGAGCCTCCCTTCTCTGGGAAGAATGTGCACTTGACTGCGGGCACCGGACACTGCTAGATACTAAGATTGCAGGTGCTGGGGAAGGGTTAACCGTGCACAGTAGATTTTGGCGGGCTGGATGTATTGGTGTGATTAGACTGGTCCTAACGAGGGGGGGCTGTTTGAACTATGTATAATACCAGGACTGGCACCAAGGGAGGGGGGGGGGGGGGAGGGCTAATGGTGCAGAGTAGATTTTGGTGGGCTGCATTTCTGGGTGTGATTGGAGTGATCGTAACGGGGGGGAGTCGTTTGAATTATATATAATATCTGAACTGCTAACACAGTTCTGACACAAACCGACTTAGCTTGAAACATCTTTACCTCTCAACCAATGTTCCCTCTAAGCTGTGGAGTCTTGTGAGCAAAAAGTCTGCTTTGTGAGCTACCGGCATTAAAGTTGTGAGCAAGCGATTTGTCTGCTGCATAAATCAGTTAGCTCTGGAGCCATCCTTCCTGAGCTAAGACAAAAATGTGTGAGCCAGAGGCTAAAAAACTGTGAGCTAGCTCACACCAACTCAGCTTAGAGGGAACACTGCTCTCAACAAACAAACCACTGCCATGAGATTTGGGGTTGGAGCCTGGGGGGAGGGCGGGGGGGGGAGCTGCAGAGTCCACCTGGTTCCAAAGCAACCATTTCCTCCAGGGGGACACGGATCTCTGCCGTCTGCAGATGAGCCATAATTCAGGGTTAGGGAGCTCCTCCGGGAGGTAAGAAACCGGGCCCCCTTCCCCCCCCCCCCCATCAGCCCACCCATATTACACACTCACAACCCGCCCCGCACGCACCCGGGAAAGCGGGGCCCCACCGGAGCGACTCTTACCCTTAACACGCGAAGGCATTCAGACGAGCACCCACGTGTGCTATTTACCCGCGTTGGGCAGGCGCCTCGCGGTCCGATTGGTTCTCTACCTCCTCCTTTCCGAGGGAGCCCAGCGATTGGCCCGCGCCTCCGCGACGCCCGCCCACTTCCCTCGGCGCTCTCCGCTGAACGGGCACCGCCGCGGACCAATCAGTCCGTCCGCCGCGGGAATTCTGCATCGCGATTGGAGGAGGCGCACCGCAGCGACGGCGCAGGGCCCCGCCCTCCGCCGCCCTGGGGGCGCGCCGTGATTGGTGGCAGCGCGCTCGGAAGAGAAGCGCGATTGGCGGGGCCGGCGCCGGCGAGGCGGGGTTATGATTGGACCTTGCCCCCGGGGGGAGGCGATTGGCGGAGCGGCCGGCGGAACTGCCCGGCCGGAGGGATGGAGGCGGCCGAAGCGGACGGCTCCGGAGGGGACTTCGCCATGCTCGGCTCGCCCCGCGGCTCCCCGGCCGTGCCCGGCCCCACCC